GCACTGGAATACCAGTGCATCGGAGCAGACTCAATCAATTAGAGTCTGCTCCAGTGTGGCAATTACGGCACTCCAGCAGCCTCCTGCATCTCGCGTATCAGTGTGTCCGTGCTTCAAAATGGCAGCACAGGAGCTTTATCTAAACCTCGTTTGACAAGCTGCCACCATTTGGAAGTGCAGGGATGCTGATACACAAGATGTTTTGGGCACCTGAATTAAAGTGGCTCTCGGAGCTGCTCCAATTCAAGTGTCCTCCCCTCCTGCACCCAAAGCACATGTATAAATGCCCTGAAATACTGAATTAATGCACATTAGGCTGTGCCAATGCACAGTAGTGCATTTGCATGCTTTTTTAGTGACGCTTCATGCATAGTAGACTATTTTACTGCTCATTAGCATAATATCACTTTATGATGCTTCAATGTGCAGTAAAATAGTCTACTGCACATGAAAGTGCACATGTAGACACACCCAGAGAAAGCCATCAGACTGCCTACGTGGAGCTTTGCCGGAGTAAGGAATCCAGGCTTTAGCACAGTGTTGCCACGTTCCACTAAGGAGGTGTTGAAAGAAAATCCAGTACAGAAGCAACTGAATATACTGACTGGAAAATGCCTTGGGTAAAGGAAGCCTGTTACTGGTGGGAGGTGGGGAATTCAGAAGTTACAGCAATGTCGCATGCAAAGACATCTGTGATTAGCGCGCGCACACACACATACTCTGTGCTTACCCGCCATGGCTATTGTTGAGCAGAATGTGGGGGAAGGTTAAAGAAATTTACCAGAAGGAAGGAAAAAAGAAAAACAATATTAATAATGGAGCAGGAAAAAACCAGACAAAACACCACAGCAATAAGAGACCAGTTTAAAAAAAGCCTGCTAAAAAATGTGGGGGGAAAAGCATTCTTAAGAACTCTGCCTGTGTCTTGTTAGCTCCCAGTTCATTTGTTACAGAAGCCTGTGCCCCCTGCTCAGCACCCAGCGCAGCGAGTAGAGATGTCGGCCATGCACCCATGCTTACACTATATGAAATAAATGGGGGAGATGACATGCAAAGCTGGACAGGAACATGCCAATCTGGCAAGGAGGAAGAGGGTAAAATGGAGCCAGGGACTCTGTCACAGTGGGAAGCAGTGGCCTGGAGAAAGGCCGGTCCTTTTACACGTACCATCAGTCCATTTCTCAAGAGATCAGGCCAAGGTTACACAAGCCTCCCTTGAACTTTTAAGTGCTTGTCACAGGAAATATTTACCCATCGAACTGTACTGCCCATGCTCATAGAGCCTGGTCAGGCTTGTGGCTAAAACTACTGAGAGACCATTCTGGATGCATGACACACAGGCCATCTGATCCCTCTGCTAGGCCTCGGTTTCAGAAGAATTGCATCTGTATTCCTGGATAGTTTATAGATTCATAGATTCATAGATTAAGGGTCGGAAGGGACCTAGTAGATCTTCTAGCCCGACCCCCCGCCAGGGCGGGAGAACAACAAAAACCCCAAAAAGAGAAATGGGACTCAAACGAGTCCAGCTAGGTGGGCATCCAGCCTCTTCTTAAAGACCCCCAGGGTAGGGGCCAGCACCACTTCCCTTGGAAGTTGGTTCCAGCTCCTAGCCGCCCTAACGGTGAAGTAGTTTTTGCGGATGTTCAATCTATACCTCCTCTCCAACAGCTTGTGCCCATTTCTCCTTGTTATGCCAGCGGGCGCTAGGGGAAACAGCATCTCCCCCAAACCCCTCTGGTCCCCCCCTAGTTAGTTATTTGTGCGTCTCTCCCGTTTCTATAGCCAACACCAACACTGCTCAACCACAGACTAAAATGGCCAGGGTTATCTTTGCACGGGCTGGCTGATTTTCTCTCAACAAAACACCGTGTGCTGCACATTTTTGGCATAATCAACTTGGGATTAAAGAACCCAATTCTTGTCCTTTTACTTGGACTTGGCCATTATGGAAAAAGAGACATAGGAATTTATATGCTCAACCAGCCTGCAGGAGACAGGCTGCTTTATCATACTGTATGCTCTCACGATTCCAGAAAAGTCTTCAGTTTTGTCCAAAAGCAAAGCACTGCAACTTCCTGAAAAAGGGTAAAGCAAACCCATTTTAAGATTGGTGTAGAATCTCAGTTGACAACAACTCATTTCAGCTATGCCATTCAGACTTGACCCTGTCAGATGAGAAGTCCAGGTTAGTAGAACATGACTTTGGAAAAGTAAAACACTGTTTCCTTTTATGATGTACTGCATAGCTTTGGCATCAATCCATACCCTCAAGTAATATGTCCTTACAGAGGAGACCATGAAAATTCTTGCTGTTGCTAGCTATACCTTATGCTAGGGAACAGCTGATTTTAGAAATTATTAGAATTATTTTTCACCACCTATATCCTTCTAAACATTAATACTCGGTATACATTATTGCATGAGAAATTGGGATGGAAAGAAAGCAAAGTCTTTGTGCATAGTTGAACATAAAACTCCATAAATAGTTTATAATATGAAAGATATCTTTATTTAATTCTATTTAAATATGTCTAAAATGTTTTAACTTGCCTCTCTGTGGCTTCATTAGCATAACATGGGAGTCCATGTCTTTTATAAATTTTCTTTTG